TCTGCTTACCCCTTTGGGTATATAAAGAATGAAGATTTTGTGTAGGTATCTACATCTCGTTATCTATTTAGAAGTCACCCTTTGCTTACTGAAACGTAATCAATAATATCTATTTAAATTCAAACGTTAAATTAGTCCCTAACATGTAACAGATATACCCTTCTTTTCGTTTCATCATGACATTACCAACACCCCCCAAAGCAGGGTGGTCCAAAGTAATAAATCAAGTCTCATTCGTTTAGTCCGACATCACCTTTTAACTTATAGTCTACGAAACTATAGAGAATAACACCTTTAAAGAAGGATTAGGAAAATATGGCTAGTATCTGTGGGCAGATATGCCCACTCTTCTCCAGCTTTTTTTATGGAATAGAAGGTAAAGATGGACCACCTAATGGAGCGCCCATGGACCGCAATGGTTGCGTTATGAGCGTCATAGTCTCGTATCGCACTGGACAATTTTAGTATCCACGCTGATTACTTGAAGTACTGATAAGCAAAAAGTATTTTATCTAAGAATTTACCCAACACAATACAATACATAATAAACCTAATTTGTGAAAAAATACTTCCCTCAAGTGACTGGTCAAACTATTTTCGGTCATTCTTTTTTCGTAACAGAAATTGAGTCTTCAACATAAATAGCACGCAAACAGAACTCGAAATGATTCTTATGCCATATTAACACATCTCGCTGTATTCACGAAATCTAAATAGGACATAATAAAAGAAAATGCAATTGAACATTAAGGCAGAGCGGATATAATAATTTATTTACACGATTTCAATACAAATGGTACCATCATTGATCAGGATGAACAACAAACAATCACTAAGACGCCGGATGAGGTAAAATTGGACGGAACCCGTGGTGTAAACATTTGGACTAATGTAATGGTGTGGGTGGCTTAATGATTGAGCTATAGAATGGATGCATAGGTAAACCATGATGTTTAAATTGTGTTGTTGCTTCTAGAAAATGAAGACAAAGCTAATACTGATGTTTTGGATATAGTTTAGTTGGATTTTTTTAAAGGGGGGAAACTTATCGAATTACTGCTCCCGCCTGGGTGAAGCGGGAGGGAGTGTCAGACTCTTACTGACTAAAAACCAACGCTCCTTCTCCTGCACGTTGAGCAGGAGCCCCGGTAACCCGTTAGGTTCTCCGCGACTCCGAATCGGCATCAGCCCTATTGGGCCACATTCGTGGTGGTCTGATGGCTCTTTGAGGCGCGCGCTGAACGCGACGCGCCATACCTCGGGTCCGCAGGCCCGCGCAGTTTTGTGGGGTTAGGAAATCTATTGCATATTAATTTACAAAGGCAAATGTTTGTTTGAGCTTTTGGTGTTAATTTTCGAGCTACAAACGGTTCAATGGACAATCATCTTTCTATGGATAGATGATGGATATTGTTCAATATTTTAAGCAGAAATAAACTCAGAAACGATTGAACTATTTTGTACGGAGGTTCAGGGTCAGAACTTAATATACATTCGAGAGAATTGGCTCTTGAATTCCAAGACGGCAACGTCGTTGTTGAAATGTTAATCGTTTAATATTTTGAATGGACAATAACATTTCCCACTCTATAATTAGCTACATAGTAACACATATAAGCAAAAATAATATTTGGTGACAATGAAACAGTATCTGGCACAAGGTTCACAACCGTGTCAGACTAACAACTGCTTTGTGGGCTAGATACACAGATTCACTCACTGCTAATCACGCTAAATACTCTTTGACATGACAATTTGTCTTCACTGGTTAAATATAATAAGTATTTTAGTGCTTTGCAAGAACCTGGTCTTTCCCAATTATTTGTATGACGGATAGCTAATAATAGGTATACAGTGTTAAGACATAGCTTTAACTATGTTTACGCCTGTGTCTTCTCCAATTTACAGACTATAGGAGATTTTTCTCGAATGTATGAAATC